TCATACCGTACTTTCACATTTTCTCCATCTCTCAACTGCTGAAGCATCCGCGAAACACCCCCACATTTTCCTTTAACTTTGCAGTCAATGACAAAGTATCTCTATGCTTTCGCAACGACTGCGGTTAGGCGGAATGCCTTTATGTATACGCGGTGCTGTCACTGTCTCTGAACTTCCAATACTCGCTAATTGACCTTACCAGCTTTCCTTTTAGACATCCCCCTTTTCATCTTTGGAATAGCACGTTTAGACTTGGTACCTTTATACGTACTCTTCACGCTCGCACTACGTTGCCAGTGCATACCAAATTTTGTGTCCCCTTTGTACACCTCGGCTACACGTACGTCCTCCACCGCATCACTCCCTTTCGCTTCTTCTTGAAGTGAAGCTGCAATGATGTTATCACCGCATGCTTCTAACAACATACAGTCCACTCAAGATCAGCAGCAGCAGACCAAACATCAGCAGTCGTTATTGCAGCGATCCCAGACCTATCTGTCGCCATCGGATTATCTCACCGTGAAATCTCAGCTGCCAAAGGACCTGGGCAACCCTGCCCGGTTCCCTTTCGGTCCTGCAGATCCGCCATTCGGCCTTGGCAGCGCGCTTGCTATGCAGCCAGACCTGGGAGCAGACCCAAAGTCCTCTTCACATGGGATCAGCGGGACCACGAGTAGTGCGCTGAATACTGCTGATATGCAGTTTTCAGGGTATTTGCTCAACGGACAGCCCGAGCTCGCTCGCGCATACTACTCGGGTCAGAATGGTGGTTACCCGTATGCCGCCGCCGCAGGTTTCATGACAGCACAGCGTGGGGCTGGCCGTCTAATGGACAGCATTGGACTTGCCGAGGGCCAAGGACTTCTCGAGCCCTATGATGGGTGCCCCGGGTTTAGCAGCCTCGCCATCTCACGGGTGCCAAGTGGGCTCTGGGCCGCTTCTCTCGCCATCTCAGCCCACAGCCACCAATATGGCAGCGTCAGCGACATCATCAGCGGTGCAAACACCATCGTTAGCCAGCTTACCCTCGGTTGGAAATATCCCGATCCTCGGCTACAGTTCGTATGCGTCGCTGCTCAACAAGGCGAATCTCAAATTTGAAAACAACCTCGACTCGATGATGATTGAATGGTAACGTATCCCCAGGTCACACCTGTCTCTTGTCTGGAATATTTCCTCTACTCCGCAAACTGCAGCTAGACCGGTGCATCCTCCACCTCTTTTGCTCGCTCTTTTCCGCTCCGCACTCCACCTTATAGCGGGGATGTCTCCTCCACAAATGCACTATTTTCGATGTTCATGTCTTGGTGGCCGTTAAGACACGTAGTAGGCATAGGTTTACTGCTTCCAGTGGCCTGCTATTGTGAGATTCTGCTTGCACAGAGAGGTCTGGGGGAGGCGGCTACCGACATGCGGGGTAAATGCCCAACCACCTCCACCAGTGCTTATTCATCAAATACTGAACAAGCCTGCATCTAATATCATGGATCTACGACATTAGGTCCCTCGAAGAGCGCGAGTGCAGACGCCGGCTTGTCCAGTTCTGGCGCCGGCATGAGAACAACAACATCTTCTGCACTTTCAAGTCAGTGGCAGCCGCCGATCGTGTTCCCAACAGTATTGTTGTATCATGCATATACTGGGAGGAGAAGCACGACTTCTTCATCACCAGCGTCGACTGCATATACCTGCTCGAGTCCCTGATCGCAGTGCGCTTTACCGTCGAGGAGAAGAACCGCATCCGACGCAATCTCGAGGGGTTCCGGCCACTCACTGTGAGCAAGTGTAAGGTCGAGTCTGCCGAATTCTTCAAGCTGATCATGTCGTTCCCAAACCCAAAGCCGCGCAATATCGAAAAGGACGTCAAGGTGTTTCCGTGGCGTATTCTGCCACTGGCCCTGAAAAAGATTATCGGCAAGTATACGGCCAGCCACAGCAGTACTGCCAGCGTCACTCTGGATCCGTATCCGACGTCCCGTGTGTCCAGCTACTCACAGATTGCCGGCATCTCGTCGGCACCTAGTGCAGGAGCTGCGTTTGGATCGGTTGGTGCCACGGGCGGAATGGCTGTCTTCCCGCCGTGCTCCCCAACCAGTGGCGGCTTAGGCAGTGGATCTGCATCGGCAGCGATCGTTGCTGCAGCAAATGCAGGCAGCAAGGCCACAGCAGTCTGCGGGACGCCGACCCTTCGCAGCAGCGGCAGCGGCAGCACCAGCACTGGTGTCAACAGTGGGGGCCGTCACCAGAGTTCTGGATTGCCAACACCGTCCATGTCGTCGAGCTCGTCGACGCTGAACGCCTTTGTTGAGGCACGTCGCCGCCAGTCGTTCTCGAGACTTGACAGCTTGGGCTTGCACCATGGCTCGAGCGGAGCATCCGGCTCGTCACTTCTGTCACCTTCTACTAGCTTTGGCATGGGGATGGGCATCGATCTTGGAATGGCAATAGGGGCTTCTGGCGGACAGGATGTCTCTTGCAGCAGCACGCCTTTTCCAAATATGGCTGCGTCATCCGCAATCTCAGACATGAGCTCGCTGTTGATGTTTGGTGACATTCAGCAGAACCTTGCCCGGTCCGCAGCTGCTGCAGCCGGTGCCGGTTCCGGATCTGGCGCTTGTACTGCCCCCTCGCTGACGGCATCCTCTGCGTACCTGAATGGTGTTGAAATGAGCCACAGTGGGCAGCCGTTCAGCTACATGATACCGACCAGCTGCAGCACCCAACTTGACCTAGCTGGCATGGCGTCCGTCAATCCCGCTGCATTCCTAGACACGTCAATATCTGCCTCATCCACGTCTGCAGCCGCTCAGTGCTCGACAGACTCTTCTGCTGAGTCAATTTCGTCAACATCAACACTGATCGACCAAATGTCGGGTGGCTATGTGACTTCGAGCTCTGATCGCCAAAGCTCTAGTAGTTCCAGCAGTTCAGGATCCACTAGCAAGAGCAGCTCGAGGTCCCCTCTCGGCAATCGTCAAAAGCAGCATGTGGTGCGTACCTCACACACCAAGCATGCATCACTGCAGGCACCGTACTCGACAGACCGTGGCTCCCGGCGCAGCGCAGGCAGCGGCATAAGTGGCGATGACAGCAGCTCAGAAAAGACTGAATGTATCAGCGCGTACTTGCCAACCGAGACTGCTTTTGGAGAGCATAGCGACGAGTCTGGTGTGCGCGAGCAATCGCCATCGATCCCGCTAATGCATCAACAGCGGCAAATGAAGCAGGTGGCACATGGCTCTAACGGCAACGATAGCTCTTCAGCGCCCGATCCACTTGTCATGCACTACGGTGAGTCAGCACCTGTGTTCGCCAATGCTGATGCGCCCAATCTCAGCACATACATGGCGATGGATGGCGACCAGGAGATGAAGGAGAAAGACTACATGCCGCTGTGCAACCTGCTGACCAATGCATTCCACAACTCGACAAAAGGCGGTGATGTTGTGCTGAGTAGTGCATACAGCCAGGATAATGCAGAGCCCGACGACTCTACCGCCACAGGTCACCATTCTAGCAGCACCATAGCAGCAGCTGGTAGTACCGCTAGTGAGGGCGAGCTGGGGTTGGCTGGCGACCCGTCGATATTCAAGCTTGCAATGAACGGCGGATTTGCGCCCGGCGATGTCGCATTCCTCAACAACCTCATCGGCATTCCTGGCGACCAAACTCACCACGATATCTTTGGCAGTGCATCTGAATCGCTGAGCAAAGGGACCAGCAGCAATCCCTCCTCGGATACTGCAGCCGACAATGACAGTGGGAGCCGAGACGACCATGCCAGCGATGGTGCGGAGTCTGGCTCTGGCTTTGCATTCGTATCGGTGCCTTCGTCATCGCCCTCGCAAGACATGGACCTGCTTCGACTAATGCAGGCCAGTGTGGATGCGCGGGACCTAGGCGACAAGCAGGGGCTGCTAAATGCGGCTGCTGCAGTGTCTGCAGCGCTCACCTCCGAGCCCAACGGCGTCGGAACTCCTGCGCTATCTGAAGAACACCTGGCACATTCATCACAGATCCTGGCCCAGATACTATCTCCTCCGGAGTACCTGGCGTCAGCCAAGTCGGCACTCAAGAGCAATCCACCGGCGGCCGGATTGTCAGCACCACATCACAGTCTGGCATCGCCGCTTGTATTCAGCACTAGTGCCCTGTTCAGCGACGCAAAGTCCTCTTACCTCCTGGACAGCACCCATGGCGGCTACTAGCCACTCGGCACTTCCGGCCAGCAAGCCAGCGCGGCAGCAGCAGCAAGCAGAAAGCAGCAGTAATCTTTCATCTGTCTGTCTCTTCCCCCCCCCCTTTTCCAAAACCCTCATTTTCACAATAGACTCGCACTTTTCGTTCTTGCGCTCGAGATTGCCGTCCTTCCCATGGACAGCCAGCCAGCGCCTAATGGGCAGCCTGCATTACCGCCCAGCACATCCGTTGCGCGGAGAAGTGCTAGATATGTGTATGCTGGCATGGGAGGGGATTTGCGTTCGCATTGTGCCGACAAAGGATACTGCCGCGTACGTGCTGCACTCAGGGCGAGCTTGAAAATTTTTCTTCAGTAACACACCGCCGCCAAGTGTGAGCCGCTCGCCCATACCGACAGCTGGCCAGCGACAAGCGGGTGTGTTTGCAAGCCCCTTCAGCCGTCATGGGGAAAGGGCGTGCTTTTATTCTACGCCCGGCCAGCTCCTCTTGCCTTCAATTTTAACGCCATCTACCTGCACACCTCCTTCCTGCTGTATTTCCAGGAGCCGACAGCGACGTCAAGAAGACTCAGCCCGCGCTTGAATCCGAAGTCTCAAACAGCAATAGCATAGGCTCGGAGTGTATGTAATTCGCCCCTCAGCCGAGCCAGCAAAACCACCCTCCCTGGGCTTACACTATTCGACGTCAGACACGTTGCAGGCCGTGAGCTCTAGCCAACTCTCTCCTCTCTTTTTCCCGGATAGCTTGGAAACCCAATTGCAACCGTTTCTCTCTCTCTTTGTTCAACTGCCTTTTTTTTTATTTCGCAGCTATTTTTCAAGCTTATTAGCAGGCGAACAGCATGAACAGCGGAACCCCTGCTGAGCCAATGACGGCCTCAATTCCAGCCGGGGCAGCGGCAACAGCAGCAGACCCTGCGGCGAGCCACACGCCTAGCGAGAGCTTTATCGACGAGCCATACTCTGTCGAGCTCTACGACTATCTGCGCAACACGCCCAAGCGGTACAACTACATGCTCACCCCAGCAGCCCGCAAGGACATCCTGCACAAGGTGTCCTGGTATCTCCTATCCAAGGACGATCGCCTGGCGGACCTGGTCCCGCTGGACGAACGAACAGGCGGCGCGCCGCGGGAGGAGCTGCAGGATGAATTTGAGACACCTATTGAATATACTGAGGTCAGGCGCGGACAGCCGTGTGGGCATGTGTTTAAGCGCGGCGAAGGCGTCTATAGATGCAAGTAAGTATTGTTCTCCCCCACTGACCTGAAAGCCCCGACTATTGTTGCAAAGACTGTTTAAGCGCGTAGAGCAAAGGGGCTGCGTATGCATTTCCCCCAGCTACGTGTCTGCCTGCCTGCCTGCTGGCTAGCTTGCTGCTTTTCCAGCAACTTCCCCTCCCTCCATCCCATTTGCACTGCTTCCGAAAACGCACAATATGACGTGCACGTCTATCCTTCATACTCTTCCTACCCCAACAATTGCTGACTGTCGCAGTCGCAAATGCAGGCGAGGTGGTAGGAGGAGATGAAGCGCATTAGACATGCAGCAAGGCAAGCGCTTCCCCAGGCTCTTATCCGCTCCTATCTACCCACTGTCGTACTGATCACGTACAAGCAAATGTATTTTCGCTGGCTAGGAACTGTGCCATGGACGATACCTGTGTTTTATGCACACGGTGCTTCCAGGCCACTGACCACACGGGTCACGACACCTCATTCAGCGTAAACTCGGGTACAGGCGGCTGTTGCGATTGCGGCGATCCCGAGGCGTGGAAGATTCCGCTGCGCTGCCGCCACCACAGCAGTTTCGAAGAGCTCGACGAAATCGGCTTTGACCCTATCATCTCTTCGGCCGGAGCGCCCTTCGTTCCTGGCTACAACAACCACAACGAGTGCCCAGTAAGCGTCAGACGCGCTATCGAGCTGACCATTGCAGTGGTACTGGAGTTCATTCTGGAGACGTTCTCCACATCGCCAGTACACTTGCGCACTAGCTTTGACGAGCGATCCATCATCGAGGATGCGCAGAGTGCGAGCGAGGCACTGGGAGATCCCGAGGTGCAGACAAAGTTCGCCATCGTCTTGTGGAACGACGAGGTCCACTCATTCCAGGACGTCATCGATCAGTGCACACAGGCGCTAGACTGCTCGCCTGTGGAGGCTCGCAAGATCGCCGAGACAGTCGATGTCAGCGGCCGCGACGTCCTGCGGGTCAGCACATCGATAACAGATCTTATCGAAATTGCGACGTCCATGGTCAATGTGTCGCTCTGCATATCTATTCGCGCTGCCCGCGACGTGTTCCGTGAGCAGCTGTCGGCGTCGCTTCTCATATGGCTTCGCGACCTGGCGTGCTGCAAGTTCCGCCCGCTTGCGCGCGTCTTCCAGGGCAAGGTCAACAACGAGATCCGCTCAGAAATTAGCCACCAGCTGTGCTTGCGTTGGGAGGCGCCATTCCGCAACAACTATTTGGCAGACATCCTCTTCAAGCAGTACAGCTACGATATCCGTCCGATGGACTCCGACACAGAAGATGTGTATGCCGATGGTGAGCTCGATGACGAAGAGTACCTTGATGAAGACGACGAAGAGAGCGTCGACGACGAAGGCGCCATTACACAGGACGAGAGCAACGCAGTACAATCACCCGCAGGCGCAGCAGCAGCTCCGGGAAACGCAGCCTCCCAGCATGCACATGCTACTACATCTGCTGCGGCTGCTGCTCAAGAAATAGGCATGGTGGTTGATCTGTCGGATGCACAGGATGCCCAGATGCGGGGCAGGAGGCGGCTCAGGTCAGACAGCACCGACTCGCTGAGGCAGCAAGGCGAGGAGCGCGGCAGCCCACGCAACTATCCGCAGCCCGGTGCTGTACACGGGCGCAGTGATAGCGACGCTGGGGCCCCTCCTCCCAGCCTCTGGCTCAATGAGACGGCTGGTGGCACTGGCGTTCCATCCTTGCACGCAGCTGTTGGCGCAGCTGTGGATGCCGTTGACGCAGCACGATTGTCGCTTGCCCGCTTTATGCAGCCTAACTACATGCCCGGACACCCACAGCACTCGATGGCTCCTGGTGCGTTTCCAAGCACAACGTACCTGTCCGAGGACCCGAATGCAGATCCGACGCACTTGCTCATGGCCACGCAGATTGAGAACGCACCACAGCAGGACCCAGATCGGGCATATGATCACGCGACGTCCCACGCCATCAGGCGAGTGCTGCGTGGGTGTGGGCAGCAGCGTCTGGACTGGTTCCTCATTTTCGATCTACAGCTATGGAAGGAGGTGCGGAGCGGCCTGCGTGAGCTGTACATGGCCACGCTGATGCTTGACGGCCGGTACAAGATGAAGATTGCGCTGACCTTCTCGCGCAACTACCCACGCCTGTCCCGGGCGTTCCTGACGCAGGACCGTGCCCCTGAACACTCGGTGCTACTGTTCTCGGTGCAGCTGTTTACTGCCCCGACGCTCTCGGCAGAGCTGGTTGACCACCACCGGTTCCTCTACATAATACTGAGCGTGCTCAAGAGGTTCTTTGTCGAGCCGACGCCCGAGTTTTTGCGCCACCAGGGTGTTGTTCTGTGCGATACAGAGTCGTTCCGTAACCGCCGGTACTTCCATGTGTTCCACGACATGCGCTATCTGGCCGGCACACCACAGGTGCGCAACTGGGTGTCGTCCCAGCACCAGTTTCTGGCCACATATGTAGGCTTCATTGGCCTCTTCCAGGGCATGAACCCGAATCGCCGTGCAGTCCTTCAGCACGTCGAGTTTGAGGCCGACACATGGGTCAACGCGTTCAACGTCACCCTGCAGGTTGCCAAGAGCTGTCGCCAGTTTGCCGAGTGCTATGGCATCTCGGCGCGGGACCTGTTTTTTGCCATGCGCGGCACACTGCGTGCGCTACGCCATTCAGTAGCGCTGATGGCCGAAGAGAACTGTGCTGTAATCATCCGCACTGCGCAGATGCAGGGTCTCTTGGGCCCCGAAGCTGGGCATACTGTCAACACAGGCGGCAACCTGGGCGATGCTATGCCGCTCGTTGCTGAGGCCCACATTCGGTCGACCATGTGGGGCAGCCAGTACTACATCGTCAAGTACGACGTGGCCTCTTGCCCAGTCAGCTTCCACCACCCGCTGCACTGGTTTATGGCTGAGCTGTGCCAGCACGTAAAGCTGCTGTCAGAGGACATTGCGCGCGAGTACGGGTTTGACAGCATTCGCCACATGATCTTCACCGCGTTCAATGTCTCATACGACAGCGCACTCGAGGGCCCGACGGACGCAGCCATGGATGACTCTGGTGCGGGTTCATCGGGCAGCAGTGGCGCTGCTAGCCGCGCAGCACGCTCCCATAGACGAATAATGACCCAGACCGACATTGAGCGGGCCCAGCACGAGCTCCTGCGTATCCTTGACTACCCGATTCGTGTTTGTGTTGTGATGGCGCAGATCCGCGCCGGTCTCTGGGTGCGCAACGGCTATGTGATCCGGTCGCAGTCGCACCACTATCGCGAGGTGTCTCTTCGCGAAAACACGTACGACCAGGACATTGTCATGATCCAGTTCTTCCTCAGCATCTGGCCGGATACCGACCACATCCTGATGGCCTTGCTTGACCGCTTCGGGCTCTATGACTGGTTCAGCGGCCAGCCACATGTGTCGGAGGTGTACGAGCAGTCGCATCTCCAATACATGGTGGAGGAGTTCCTGAATGTGCTCATTGTGCTGGTGTCGGAACGCCATGTCGCCACTGGCAAGAATGCGCTGGATCTGGCGCGCCGTGAGATTGTGCACGGATGCCTGAGCCCGATCGCATACTCGGAGCTGTCAAAGAAGATCCCCGAGCGCTTGGCTGAGCACACCGAGTTTGACAATCTGCTACAGGAGATGGCCGAGTACCGCTCTCCCGTCAGCATCATGGACTTTGGAATGTACGAGCTCAAGGACGAGTATCTGGACGAGGTCGATCCCTACTTTATCCACTACTCGCGCAACCAGCGTGAAGAGGTTGAAGAGCTCCTGCACGAACGACTGAAGAAGCGCTTGCGTCGCAGCGGCGGGGACCCTGATGCCGTGCCTGCCTATATCCCGCCCAAGCTTGACCCGATTCGGTTTGGTCCGTTCCAGCGGCTTGGAATGGTGCTCCATACGCCCCTGGCATGCCAGGTGCTCTTCAACGCCCTGTACCACGCGACAAACACGCCAAACCACTACATGTCCGAGACCATGGTTGACGAGGCGCTGCAGCTTGTGGTGCTCGCACTCGAGGACGGTCGCCGCGGAGCCGTGGCTCGTGAGATCGGCGGCCCAGATGTCAATCCAGACGGCGAAGAGGGCAACACCCCGAACCGCGGTGGCCTGTGGAAGTACGCCCTCGAGCAGGGCTATCCAATGTCCAAGGGCGGCAAGCCAATGAACTTCCTGGCTCTGGTGCTGTCGCTGGGCCTGCGGTCTGAGCTGAAGCAGTGGAAGCCCAAGCTGGACTACATCCTCAAGCTCTTCCGCGAGGGTGGGCCGCGCGTCATCAGCTGCATCGACGAGTACTACGCAAGCCTCGAGTCAACCCCCCTGGGTAGCCATGTGCTGAGGACGGCGCAGGACGAGGCCAGCGCTGCCGAGCGCAAAAAGCAGGAGGCAAAAGCGCGCCAGGCGGCGATCCTGGCCGACTTTGCCAACCGCCAGCAGAATTTCATGGCCCAGTTTGGCGACGAGTTTGACGACCTGACTGATGAGGAGGATATCGACAAGGCAGATGACGTAGTCGAGACCTCCGCTGACAAGGGCAAGGGGTCCGATATGAGCCGGGTGCACAACTCGCTGTGGACTACGCCCGGCGGAACCTGCATTGTGTGTCAGGAGGAATGCGATGGCACAAAGCCGTATGGCATTCTGTCGCTGGTTCAGGCGTCGCGTGTAGCGCGCACTGCACCGCTCTCTGACGTTATCAGCGTCACTGATATCCTGGGCATGCCTGGTGGTCTCGACTGCGAAATCAACGATGCGCCAGCCATTGCACCACAGACCCCCGAGAGCTCCATGTCAGCGAGCAAGATCAGTGCGCAAATGCGGCTGGCCGACCAAGCCGGACTCAATGGGCAGGTCGCAGCTGGAGCATATGGCGCGCCGTCCGGCCTTAAGGGGTTCCCTGTGCTGTACCACGAGCGCGGGATGGTTGCCAATACCTGTGGCCATCTGATGCACCTGCGCTGCTTTACCCAGTACTACCAGGGAATCGAGGCTAAGCGCCAGAATCAGCCTACGCGCAACCACCCAGAGAACCCGCACCGCAAGGAGTACCTGTGCCCGCTCTGCAAGAGCCTTGGCAATATCCTTTTGCCCGTCTTGCCCCACGTCGGCGACTACGACCCTCTGACAATCACGGACCAGAACCCGGAGCGGTTCGCAGTACCGGCCAGCCAGCGCACCGACCAGGCCACCGCCGAGTTTGAGCGCTGGCTGCAAGACGACTGGCGCGAGCTTGGCGAGACGATTGTTGCTGTCACCAATGGGCGGACCTCGTCCAAGATCGCCCCTGTACTGAGCGGTGGTCCGGGCTCGCAGGCTGAAAGCAGCTCTGGATCCGACCGTGAAGGAACCTCGCAGGCCAGGACGCCGTCGTCGTCTACTCCTGCCATTGGCGCGGCGGCAGCGGCAGCACCAGGAGGCTCAACACCCGAGGCACCTGCGGGATTCCGCGCCATGGGTCAGACAGCTGAGGATACCCTAGCCAGCGGCCTGATTGCGTCGCTTCGGAACGCAGGCGGCTTCAGCTTCAACCTGCCTGAGGGCCTGACCGAGTCCCTGCCGCGCAACCTGGATCTCCTGCGTGCCGCCCAGCATCTGCCAGGTGGCTTCGCTGCTGTTCAGACTCTTCTCCAGCGGTTCCTGCAACCCAGCACGAATGCCGCCTTCTCGCTTGTCCCGGGCTCTGAGCGCATGGTTTTACCCCTGTCGCAGTATGTGCGGTGGATGTTCGGCATGCACTTTGCCGACACACATCATCACCAGCGCAGGCAGGCGCATAGCGGCACTGGCTCGCACAGCGGATACTCGACTCCTGAGGCCTCTGGCTATGACCAGGCGTTTGCTGCTGGAGGACGGCACATGTTTGCACAAAATACCGAGGCGCAGAGCCGTGCTGCTGCTGAAAAGGAAAGCCGTATGCGTGGGCAGCTTGAGGAGTACCAGTTCATGTATACGCGCCTGTATGAGGTTGTGCAGCAAGTCCAGCGTGACAACCACGTCGGGCTGCCGTCGGTTTCCTTGTTTGAACACATCGGCAAGGGCAAGGGCAAGGGCAAGGGCAAGGGCAAGGGCAAGGGCAAGGGCAAGAGCAAGAGTGCTTTGGGTGTCCATGGCCAATATCGTGAAGGCTCGGACAGCCTTCCCTTCGACGAGGACGAGGAGTTTGAGGATGCATACGAGGATGAGGATGGTGATGAGATCGATAGCGACAGTGCTTCCTTCAATCCTGCTGCACCTGCGGGCGCATCTGCTGGCACCGGTAGTCCTATCCACAACGCTGCCCATGGCCGCCAAGGATACCTGACTGACTCGCCCTTGGCTGGGTTGCCGCAGCTGATGCAGGTCCTGAGCGACAATCTGCGCTCAATTGGCTCCGCTGGTAATGCATTGCCCAGCATCCTTGGTGGAGGCGGTGCCGGCGGATCTGCTGCCCCAGCCCATGGCGACCCCTCTGCCCCCCGTATCTTCCCGTTCGATCGGGCGGCCACGGCTCTGTTCTCACACTCGCTGGCCATCCTTGAGCTGGCACAGCGCGGCGTGCGTAACCCGCCGGTCTTTGATCACGAGGATTCGCGAAGCCAGCCGTCTGGCACGCTGGTCGATGGAGTTCCTGAAGCCCACGCGGTATTCATGCACTCGCTGGCCAAGATCGCAGAGATGCATTACCGCACTGCTTTTGGACCAGTATCCGACCTGGCCACAGGCACTGCCAGCACTGATTCTCCAGCTCTGACCCCAGCACAAAAACTGAGGTGGCTGATGTCTCAGTCGTCGCCGTTGCCGTCGCCGTCGCCCTCACCTGCTCACACCCCTGGGGCAGCAACGGCTCAGAGAGAGGCAATGCAGCAGACGCGCATGTCAATGCTTAAGGACCTTAGCTACATCCTGGGCCCTCTGACCGGTATCCCTGTTGTGCGACCGCGCGAGTCTCTGCACGACCAGTCGGTATGGCTGACCGGAACCGATGGCCTGCCGCCGCGCCCGCTGCTGATGCAAGACTCGGCATCGATCTTCACCGAGCTGAGCATGTCGCTCGTTGTGCCCTTGGGCGTCGATATCTGGCAGCTTGTACGCCTGTTCATGACCGTGGAGCTTGTCCGTGTCTGTGTTGCTGTCGGGGACAGTGTCATTGGCGAGTACAGCGGTGCGCCCAAGACACTTCGTGCTGCTCAGCACTTCCCCGTTGATATTGGCGCCAGCATCGCCAATGCTTCGAGCTCTATTCCTGGAGCTGCCGGATCGACGCGCTCACAAGCAGCAGCCGCTGCCGCAGCCGCAGCAGCCGCCGCCGTGGTGTCGGAAAACTCACACCAGCCGTGGATTGACGCCCCTGAGGCCCGCGACTCCAAGTTGCTGTCGTCGATTTCGGGTGGTACCGACGCAAAGGTTGTTGAGGCATCGGCCCCGGGCATCAACTCGCTCATTCTGTGGGTCATTCGCCAGATCCGTGGGTCAGATATGGATGAAGAGGTCTTGACGCGCTTTAGGTACAGTGCACACCGGACCACGGTGACTAAGCTCGTTGTGTCGCTGATGCTGCCGTTCTTGCGCCGTCTTGCGCTGACACTGTACCTCCAATACGGCATTGATCTGGCCCGTGAGGCGCCATGGATGCGCGAAGAACGTGCACGCGCAGCCACAAACAACGATCCCCAGATCATGGCTCAATCGGAGCCCGAATGTGTGCGTCTGCTCAAGATCTTGAACTTGCCCGAGCTGCACAAGGTGTTTGTCCCCGAGGCACAGCCTGGCATGACAGCCATTGTCAGCAACTGGCTCAAGGATCTGCGCGTGTTCCGCAGTCGCCACGGCTCGGCAGTGTCGCTGGGCGCCGGATACACAATGGCAGTGCCCGTAAGCATGCCCACGCCATACACCCTGGTTGAGATGCCTGATCGGTTCGAGGTGCTGTTCGAGCGCTCGGCCAAGGCGTTCTGTCCCCGCTGCAATAGCGTCCCAAGCGACCCCGCGCTGTGTCTGCTGTGCGGCAGCTTTGTCTGTTCACAGAGCTTCTGCTGCGAGGTTCAGGGCATTGGCGAATGCAACATGCACATGAAGTCATGCGGTGGAACCGTCGGCGTCTACCTGCTTGTCAAGAAGTGCGGCCTGCTGCTCTTGCACCATGACAACGGCTGCTTCATGTCGGCGCCGTACCTCGACCAACACGGCGAGGTGGACCTGGGGCTGAAGCGTGGCCGTCCGCTATTCATCAACCAGAACCGCTACGACGAGATGCGCAAGCTTGTTCTGACCCAGAAGATTCCGGTGTTTGTTGCTCGCAAGATTGACCAGGCGTTTGATATTGGAGGCTGGGTCTCGCTCTGACCCTGACAAAACAAAAAATTATTCTCTACGTTGTTCTCTCCTTCGATGGCTGCTCCATCTGTATTGAAAACATTCATTGATCGCTGCCTCAGTATGTCTATGCAATGTGTAGTCTAGTGCCGGTGTGCCCAATGTGTCGACATTTGGTCGTCAGATGCACTGAACCCCTGCTTGATCTTGTCTGTGTACATCCGCAGGCCATTACCCATCACGGTGATCCGCGCCAACGTCTTCTCCAAACCCTCAGCTTCCTGGGTCAGTGCTGTAAACGTGTAGCGGCCGAACGCGTGGTTCAGAATGTACATGATTCCCTGCGACGCATCCACGTCTTCGCCCTCGCCAGATGACTTGGCCCCCATGTTGCCTTCGTCCTCCACGCGAGCCGAGAGGCGTACAAGACCCTTGACACGATACACATCCTCAGCGGGTAGCGACTTGAGGAACTGCGTGAACTGGGTTGGCTCAAGCAACTGGGCTGGCTCGGTAAATTCGCGGCGGATCTCGATCAGATCAACCTCGTTGTCATGGTGCGACGTGTCGGCATCGGCGGGCTTCTCAGACAGGCGGAACAGGTTGGTATCAAGCCCAAACACCACATTCGGATCTACGCCCGCGTCCTTGTCTGCCTTGATCTTTGGCGTATCTGTGTTAAGCTCATTGATATGGTCGATGACAATATCGAGCTTGCGTTCGTTGACGAGCTCCCACTTGTTCAGCAGCACCAAGTCCGTATACTGCGCCTGCATCTTGGCTGTGTACGAGTTGTCTTCGTATCCGCAAAAGTTGGCGCAGTCGATGACGGTGAGAATTGCGTCTAGGTGGAACCCCTCGCTCTCCATCTCGCGGATTTGCCAGGCAATGGGTGCCGGGAACGCCGAGCCCGATGTCTCAACAATGATACGGTCTGGACTGTACTTTGCCTTCATTTCCTCGAGTGCCAGCTTCATCTGGCCAACCAGCACACAGCAGAGGCAGCCGTTTGTCATCTCCGTCACCTGAATATGGCTCTCGCGCACCAGGGCACTGTCTGTCTCGGCATCACCAAACTCGTTCTTTAGGAGGACGACCTTGTAGTCTGGGTCGGTGCGCTTCAAGAGGTTCAGAATGATCGATGTTTTGCCAGCACCAAGGAACCCGGTGAACACCGTGATCGGTATGACTGACGACCCGATGACTGTATGCGACTTTGGAACATGGGCAATAGCGCTGGTCATGGTCTGCGTGTCTAATTCCTCGTGTAAGCGAATTTCAAGAATAAAAAACGAGTGCTGAAAAGGAAGAGGCGATGGAGAACCACTGCTGAAGTTCGGGATGGGGGTGGCACTTTTTAACCCGAGTTTTGGCACGATCATAATTGTTGGGGTTACGATTTTTGCTGCCAGTTTCTTTGATCTGGCATCATCCACAGCACGTTCCGCTCTCCCCAAGCAATATTGCTGCGCACCACCGGCCGGCTCCTGCGGGGATCGGGTGATGTGTGCTTGTGCATAGGGACTGTTCGAGTCAGGTTTAGAAGTGCAGGAATGAGGTGGCACTGGAGCAACCTGATGTGACACGACAAGAGTGGTAAGCGAGGGATGGCAGTGCACTGCTAGTAGAATGAAACAGAAATGACTAATCGAAGGTATGAGTGATGCTCTAAAGGAGCCACATCTGGCACCAGCACTATAGCGGCTTTTATACGACCAACACTGGTGCTACGCTGGTGTATAAACCAAAGTCAGTTCATAGGTTAAGGTATATGTCATGCCGCTAATGATCCAGACATGTTGCTGAAAACAATTAGAGTGGATATGCAGGATGGTGTAGATGAGTATTAAGCATTGATCAACGTTTTTATCAACAGGACAATATACAGATGTGTACAACATGGCTAGGTGGTTTAAATATTCAAAATGAAACCCGATATTCTGCTATTTCGGGCCAAATTTGCTGATAGCAAGACCACATCCGACTAGAAATGACAGCTGGATCCCCTGAAACTGAGGAATGACATTGCCATTGGCATCTAGATATAGTGGCAGCCACTTGACAGCGGACACAGTGATCAGGAAGTTGGGCAAGAAGGTCAGACAAACGCAATAAGAAGCATGGCAGTGGCCCGGCACTCAACGCTATAGAGGCATTTATTGGTGACAAATAGGATGCATTGCTTGAATTCGCTTTAGTGCGTTCTAGTGGGATTGTACTGGCTCGCCAATCCATTGTTGATATATTCAAAGTTAATGTAGCAGCGAGAATCCTAGTATCAGCCATCTCGTCTAGCATGAGATATTGCGATGTACAGGCTGAGGCAAACCAAAGACAGCGAGGATGTTCCAGTATATCTCAAACCGCTTCTGTGCAGTAGCATCCAGGCCACTGCATTCAATTTGGCCGTTGATGGCACGAATGGTCTTTCCAAAGTCCATTGAGTCGATCACACCAGGCACAACACGGACGCGCTCACGCCAATACCAAAACGCCGTCGCCCATGCCACATTAATGTCGCGGGCCACCCAGTCGGGATCATCGATCAAAATGCTACTATCGCCATACAGTGCTAGCGACGCGTCCTTGTAGTTTTCAGGCCAACTCAGCTGTAAGCATCCTCTGCCAAAATAGTATTTGTCTTTCCGACCAAGAGGGCTTGCATAGCGTGCGGCAGCCTGCTGGTCCACCAGTGCTGCGTGCTCTTCAAACTGCGTTAATCCGCCGGTCTCGAGCAGCACATGGGCAAGAAACATGGCGAGCTCAGTTCGGGTCTGGATCCGGCCCAGACGCGAGGCGTCACGGTTGAGAATTTGGCAGTGTGCCTCTAAGTCATCGCCAACAGTGTATCCGTTGCGTATGATAATTTGACGCAACTCTGAGCAAGAAATCAGTGCTGTGGACTGTGTAGGCGTGGGATAGGATTGAAGACGTGGCGGCTGTAGCCAATTCAATAGCCCATCTGGCCTGCCAGGTCCGTGTGGTCTGTAGTGAAGGGCGTTAGAAAAGGTTGAGGCAGACTGAATGTATAGAATAGCCGCCAGTATTAGAGGCACGAATATATTCATGGATATAGTTGGTTTAGACTGGTGGAGAGTCAGTTAAAGGAAAAAAAGCCAAGAGCGCAGCATACTAGCTGACACTGCTTTGTGCACAAGTATTAGCAGGCTACACCTCGCCGTCCACGGTTTCAAGGGTCCATTCGCGTGTGGGAGTTTTGTTTCTTAGAGCTACTGCGGTGAGGTGGTTTTTGCTGCATGCACATAATTAACGATGGGACTATCTGCCACTATACTAGCTTTTGCAAAAACCCTACGCTCGTGGGACTGGAGTACAGCTGCATCTTGGGTCCAGATCCACAATCCAGTGTCTCATAATGTCCGATATTGCCAGGCAGCTATATGTGGATGGTATCTAGTGCTAGCTGATTTCCGAAAAGCCAACTCGTTTTTCACAACTACATTGACAAGCATCCTTTTTCAAAAATGCGTGTATTCTTTGCTATTGGGCTGACAAGTTTCCTGTGCTTTGGGTCGTTGAAGAAGAAATCGCTGTCGACTTCTGGTGCACTGGCTGCTGGATTCGTGGGGCTGTCGACGGCCAGTAACGACAACCTGCTCTTCACAGTGGTTCTGGTTGTGTTTTTTGTGACCAGCTCATTCTGGACCAAGTATCAGAAGAAGGCGAAGATGAAGATCGACCCTGGATTCGCCCAGGCGTCGCAGCGTGACTGGAAGCAGGTGCTGAGCAATGGCTTTGTAGGTTCAGTCATCTCGCTGGTCTACCAATACTACTTTGATGGGCGGGATGTTGCCGAGCTGTCGCTGGCGGAGCGCAGGTTCATGACCTTGCTTATCTGGGCATATATTGGGTTCTATGGGTGCTGCGCAGCGGATACGTGGGCAAGCGAGCTGGGAGCACTGAGCAGTAATTGGCCGATCCTAATCACCACATTCAAACCGGTACGTACATGTACAGCGACAGAGGCACCAAATTTGCTCATGCATGATGCATGAGCACATATTGCGGCCCTGGCCTGGAGACAAACAATGCTGCATTTGTTTACACTTTGGTGCTCACGAATATAAGCCGACATGCCGAGTGCATGTCTGTGCATGGATATAGGTGCCACCTGGAACCAACGGAGGCGTAAGCAAGCTGGGGTTATTGGCGTCGTTTGCGGGTGGTGCGGCGGTTGGACTGGCGGCGGACGTGGCAATGTGGGTGCAGTATTTCCCAGAGTACCGTTCGGGAATCCTGCCGCGCATCCCGTACAACCTCATTGGGTCGCTGTTTGGCACGCTGGGCTCGCTGGTAAGTACAATGGCAGATCCGGCCCATCGCCGGCCTCCATGTGAAGTCACTCTTGGGGAGTCTGGTCAAGACTACGTGCAGGTTCTGGAATCAGAATACGTTGGTTTATAGCTAGAGCGCGCATCCTGAGACGGGCATTCTGCGCGTGCTGGGTGGGTGGTAGAAAAACAAAAGAAGGCTGCCATGACGTTGAGTCCGAAGGGCCGCAAATCATCGGCACTAGCCGCTATTTTCAGTGCAGTGTCTGGTGAATGCGACGAACTGCATGCTGCACGTCTGTCCCTCTGACCATCGCTTGTGACCAGCTTATTTTGTTCGAGCGCGCAGTTGTAAATGGTGTTGCACTTTTTCGCACTTGTAGATCGATTCGCTGCTCGGGGCAACCATTCAGGCATCATATCTTGTTGACAACAAGATCGCCACTGACCACTCGCACACGGACCGCACGAAGCTAAAGAAGGATGCGCGGCTGATCGCTGGCATCGACGTCTTGGACAACAACCAGGTAAATACTAGAAGCCAGATGCCAAAAAATCTCGCGCACCCCATTAGGCTGATCGTGACTGACAGCCAGGTCCAATCAGGCCAGTTTCTTGGCTTGCTGCTCTGACAGGCGCGTTATTCGGCAGGTCCGATGACAGCCTTGCCAAGCGACATGGGGATCTGCTGCGTGGTTGCTAGAGCCAATGGCCTCGCCTCTACCGCACATCACTGTG